GGCCCTTGGAGGCCCGGCGCAGGGCGCATGTAAGTCAGGGGAGGTAGTGCTTGGTGCAGCGTGATCTCAGAAAGGCCAGGGGATGAGAGCTCGGGGTGCATATGATTGCAGGGAGGCCTGGGAAAGAGGGCACAGGGATGCATGAGTAAGTATGTGCAAGCACAGGGAGGCCGGGGAAAGAAGGTGCAGTGTGTGTGCAAGCGAAGAGGGGAAGGAGGGTGTGATGCGTGCAAGCAGAGAAAGGCTGGGGGGGAGACTTAACCCAGCAACTTGTGACCTTCCTCACTGGCTTCCCATTGACTTTACTTGGGGGAAGCCAGCAGGGAAGGGCACAAATGGTGATCAAGTGACCATGAGACACTGCAACTGGTTGTAAGTGTGAGCTGATAGCCAGGCACCCGAATTTTGTTCATGTGACCATGGGGGGGCTGCAATGGACAGAACTTCAAGGACCAGTCATAAGTCCCTTCATTCAGCACCATCATAACTTTGAACAATCACTGATTGTGATTGGCCATAACTAGAGGACTACCCGTATAGCAGAGCTTAAAGTGACTGTTTCTAAAACAAGTCTTTAACTTGACTTTAACTCCACCTCTCTCCACTAAGTGAGAGATTGCTGAACTCACATACATCAAAAGATTTCAGGCAATATCAGGTCTCATCAAACACAGTGGGTTTTTGACACATCAGTTGTTAATTGATTAGGCACTGGTAATCTGCCTCACACATAACCTGTATCTGCATAACCAACCATTCTTCCTTTCCCTTTGCCATCCCTCCTCACCACAGTAAATCCTAGCCACTCTATGCATCTGATAAAGTGAACAGCAACTCATGAAAGCTTATGCTGCTTAATAAAATGTGTTAGTCAGAAAAGGTGCTACCAGACTCTCTCTCTTCATTGGCATCCTTTAGCATATCAATTCAAAGTTCAGGGAACTTTTGAAGACATTCCTTGTTCTTCCATGTCTTTTTCAATCTTCAGTGTCTTTACAGATGGCATTATAATACTGCCTCTTGTCTATTCTAGCAACTAACAAATTTCTAAGAGAAAAGCATTACTGCTTTAAAATTATGAATCGTAGTTCCCTTTACATGCTCATGCTTCTCTTTACCTCAATTATCCCCCCTTCACAAACTTGTGTACAGAGAAGATACATACATACTGTAAAGTGTTCTGCAATATCCCTTATATTAGAATTGATAATTTAAAATAATGGAATTTTAGAATGTTTTCTTTGTCTTTTTCTGAAGAATAGATGTAGAGGTTGTAACGGGAATGGAAAAAAATAACATAGCAACATTTTGATATCTTATTTTTCTTTCTGTCTTTCAGTTCTCTTCTACTGCTTTGTCTGGTAGACCTATACAAAAACAATAGAAGGAAATTAAAATTTTAATTTAATAATCTTTCATTGGTTAGCTATGCAAAATAGGCAAAACCCAAAGGAGATATTGAGAAATTAGTCTCATGATTCATCTTAGTCTTTTGGTGAACCACAGAACCAAATATTTTAGATATTAGAATTAAGAAATATTAAATAGAACTTGGAACAATCTTATATACTGGTAGTTAATACTGGAAATTTTAATCAAGATGTCCTTGTTAATTACTTTAGGAACAATTATTAAAACATGACATGTGGAAGATTAATAGGCACTACAATGTCCCCTAGTGACAACAAAGCAGAATAACAAGCAGATACATCTTTGTGACATGAACTTTGGAAAAGCGGAAACATGACCATATAGTTTTAAAATAAAAACCGAATGCAGACCAGCAGAGTTTTTGAGTAGTATAAATATCTCTGCTACTTCTTCCATAAATTCTCAGTTATTATATGGCTATTTTGTTCCTAAGTGTAATCTAGTTGTACCTTATAATATACATTTGGAGAAAAAGTTCAAGAAGTGTCCTATTAATTCAGGGATGACCAACCTCACGTGGGCTCCACCCCACCCCATTCTGTGGTTCACAGCGTACCTCCAGATACCACTACTGAATTTTTATAATCCAGTTATATTTTTCTTTCCCTCCTCTCCAGAGGTACAAAGTCTCCATGAGGCTTAACCCATCTGTTCTGCATCATTAGACTGGGTTTTTCACTCTTAATCTCCTGGCCACGTCACTGGGTTAGAAAACAATCCCTGACAGATAATATTTTCTCCCACTATGTGGGAGGTAAACATCTAGCTGAATTAAATTAAAAAGAATTGGGAAACATATATTGAAGGAATTGTGCAGTAGAAGTTTTGCACTAGGGCAAACATAATATTAGATACAGTTCTTTGCTGATTAAGTCTTGACCAAATTGAAGGTTCTGCTTTAACTTTTGGTATTCATGTTATTTGTTTACAGCAAGGATATACAAGCTACCATTCCACAGATATACATGGTCAGACACTACAGCCATTGTAAAATTTGCCACTCATCTTTAATCATTATGTTACAGAAGGAGATAATTATAAAGGACCTTAAAGTATTAACTATATATCATTTAAATTACATAATATTGAATTTAAATTAAATCACATTTAGTTTTTTGTCCTAGTCCCATCCATTTCTTTATCCCAACTCCTATACTTTTTAAAGTGAAGCCTTTAAATATCACTCAAAGGCCAAGTATGATGATAAATCAATAGATAGAGAAATACTGTTCCAGTGGTTACAGCAATAAAAATAATTCGGTTTCCAAGATAGTATCTCCATTGCAATTAGGTACCATCCACTCTTCCAAATTGGAAGTCAGGTGTGGCCCTTTATTTATTTAGAAACAAATAAATAATTTGTTTCTAAAACATTTGTGTTGCATATTCTAATAAGGGCAGTAAGCAGCTTACAAAAATACAATAAAAACTATTATAGAAACATTAATAAAAGCAATAAATATAAAACAGTAAACCAACATTAAAACATTTAATATTAAAAAGACTTGGTGAATAACTATGCTTTTGGAGTCTATATAATATACTATATATAAAGTTCACTTCTCCTATATCTGCCCAGAATAGTAATCGTTCACCTATTTGAACGTTTGTATGTTCCTAGAGATACTTCCAAGAAATTTCATCTGTTTTTAATCTTTATTCTATTTCACTTTTATTGTTTTTATTTTTCTGTATGGTTTATTTTGTTAAAATATGTAATTTCTTTATTATTCAGTTTCAAACTGTTAAAAAAATATTACACTCATATTATTTTTATAATTGGGAGCTTGAAAGCATTTGTACACGAGTAGCTACAAAACAGAATCAACTGATTATAGCTAGAGAGTATGTAGGTAATGCTGTGTAATTAAAATAGAGTTTAATTCCATCTTTATGAATTTTAATATGAATTGGATTTTCTCAGTTCATTCTTCTTCTTCTTCTTTGTAAACTTAATTGTAGTCCTGGAACACAAATGCACATGGCAAGCAACAAATATGTATGACTTGCAGTTTCAGAAGGATATTAAAATATCAGAAAATGCATTTGTCTCAATGCAGTAGATTTATATCTATACAAGAATATTTGGAATTATGGCTGGAATTAGGACAATACTTTTGTTTGAGAAAATTATATTATCATCAGTATTATCTAGTTGATAACCTGCTTCCAGAAACTGAAAAAGTGGTTCTGTACTACAATCCTAGCCCCTTCTGATAGAAAAATATAATCTGGACTTGAATTGTACCAATAGGTATTGATTAAATTATATTAGCGCAGCCCTATAGGAAAGAATATCAGTGAGGTGCCAGAAGCCTTGTTTAATTCTATTACACTGAGTAAATAAGCAATAGTGAGATATGAAAGAAACTTTAATAAGGGCCTTGTAGCTACAAAGATGAGATTAACACCCATTTTGGATTACTCTGGAACACGACTTTATTTACTCAAAAGCATGGATATAAACAATTTTTTTTTTTAAAGTAGGGAGGTCCTTACCCCATACCATGAACCACCAATTTCTGATATTGTCTGCATTATCTACCCAGGACTTTAATTTCCTGGGTCAAAGGTTGCTTTGATTCTGCTATATATGTAATGCCTAGCCTGTATTCAAGGCCAACTCTATATTATTTGTCTATGCAGAAAATCTGTCCTGGCCCCTAACATTATGAGTCATGAGTCATAAATTGTTTGGGGTGATCTTGTTTGCTGCTGTTTGCTAGGAGGGGCAATTCCTTACAAGCATATGTATATGCACAACACACCCTTACATCTTTGCTCTGTTGTTGATATGATTTTATCATTGTGAGGTATCATTTACCTTGGGGATAATGGGTTATTATTTTTAACTGTTGGGTATTTAATCTTTGTATCCTGCCCAGAATCACTGTTGTGAGAGGGGTGGCCATATAAATTATTTAAATAAATAAATAAAATCTGGGGAGGGTCTCTTTCCTCAAATTGAGCAAATCTTGTATTCTCTACCAGCACAAGAGGTCAGAGTTAGCATCAGAAACTTTCCCAGTGCTGTCCTCTCTCCAAGGTCAGGAGCAACAAGGTCCCCTGACCTTAATCCATGCTGTAACATCCTGCCCTTGCAGGCCAAGCATGAAAGAATCATTATAGGCACTATCTACAAAGAGATTTTATTTTAATGATTTTTTCTCATTATAGGCAAAGGTCCTATAGCATAGGTATGAACATAACCAGCAGACTCCACTTTGCTGCTTTGCATGGAGATGATGCATTCTCTCTTTCAGAGGTCATGGCAAGGCCTATCCACACTGACTGGCAGCCTCACTTCAAAGGAAGTGACTTCTATATATGTACAGAAGCTATTGTTTAAATACCACATAGTAATTAGCTATTATCTATTTTTTCTTCTAACTGTGAAATGGTTTCTGTTTATTAAAACATTGTCTTGATTATGAAAAAGGACAAATTTAACCCTTAATTTATTCTTGCTTTGAATATTTTGAGACTTTTCTGTCTTTTAGATAACTACCTCTAGATCTATACTTCTTCTCCCTTTTTAGTAAATCACATTTTTTATTGTCTTTTCCTAGTCATTTGCTAACTTGGAGGGATATACAACATATTATTGTAAGGACTTCACGGGCAGGACATCTAATTGCTAGTGACTGGAAAACCAATGCAGCTGGTTACAAGGGTAAGTATATCATCTCATATTCAACATTACAGGCCTTATTCAGTAATTTGGTCGTTCATTTCTAGGTCCCAAGTGTTTTCCTGCCAGGTATAGTTATTTCTATTTCCACTAATGAAGTAAACAAGGTCACAAGATCAAGAATTATGGCTCTTGTATAGCTGTGTTTTAGGTAAAATAAGAAAGATAATATTATTCTTAGAAATAAAAATGATTCTCAGCCTCCTTTTATTTGGGTTGATGGGAGAGATTTGTTAGTTAAATATTATTCATAGTTAAATAATATAAACTTAAACAATATGCATTTCCTGAATAATAAGACATTTGTATACCACACTGTGCACATTTATATTATGTGATAAAATTCACAATTAAATAAAATGTGTACATAAATGTATACATTGGGAATAGTATTAACAACAAGATATATATTAAGGAAACATACATAAAAGGTGAATTTAGGGAAATGGTTTGCAAAAAGAATAATGTATTATGAAATGTACATATAAACATGAATATATTAGGGAAAAGGGAATATAAAAGTGAAAATATTGGGATAAGTGTGCATGTGAACTAATGTAGAGATGATGGAACATGTCTCCTGGAAAAGTGAGATACTGAGCAGAATTAAAACTGAGAAGTATTCCTTGCGTATGTGCTGACAAAACTAAGTGGGAGTTTAAAGTTTAGGTTTTTGAATATTACCTGCAATATTATGATTTTTTTAAAAAAAGATGTTCCTAACAACTCTTTCACAGAAGTCAGTTGTTTGCAATCAGTGAGATACATGAACCATATACTGTACATATGCATTAAATGGATGATACTGTTTTCAGTTTAATATGTTCATAAGGATAGGATTCGTGACATACAGAGGATAAATGCAGATGCCCACTTAGGACATAACCACAAATTCAAAGTCATAATTTTCAGTTGGATGTTTAATTCATTTGGATGTTTTATGTTGTTCTTACCTATTTTAAATTTCGTTAAATTTTATGTGATAGCATAACTTCAAGCATTCTTCATATTGTATACGTTAATCATTTTTTTGGTATTATTTATTTATTCCATTTATATTCTACCTTCTGTCAAGGAGTCCAAGACAGCAGATTATAGGCATCAAATATTTCTCACCACAGTCAAAATAACAACAGTATATGCTGGGTATGGTTCTAAATCCTACAACAGTTGCAGAAAACATTGTTAAAATAATTGAATGCTAGTTTATAATTCATGTGGTGTAATTTGTTTGCTATTTTTCTCTGACGGGGTTTTACATCACTGCTTTATGTTTCCAACTTATGAAAACCAGATAGTGTATCAGATAGCAGGAAAAATGTATAAATATCACTGGGATATGATTAATAAATACCATCATGCCATATTGCTTGGAATGTTAGCCATTATGCAAATATGACAAAACACCTAAGAGGTGTGTCCATTAAACTTTTAAACCAAAGGATCATTTATCCTATTTTCTGTCATGATTACAGTTATTCATGAAATCTGTCCCACTGTGTTTTGTAACAGTTGCAGGTGTATATTCCATATAGTACAATATATGTATGCAGTTATATACTACTTTTATTTTTATTTTTTAATATTCTTTTAAGATTCCATGCATTAGGGTGGTGTTTTCCCTAGTGTTTAATGCCATGTGTGAATTGATACCAGGTCTTTACTGTGAGCTGACAAAGCCATACCTCATGTTAAAATTGAAAAAAGATTAAAATTACCCCCATTCACCATGGAACCGAAGAATCAACTTTAACCTAATTAAAAAGAATAGTTTTAAGTCAATTATTTTGGCAATGTAAGTTGAGCAAATGGTTTCAATAAAACTATAACTCCCTTTCAACCTCTTGTTAGTTTTGGATGAAGGAAAAGCAAATGATTTAGATTAAATAACAACATCCAATGTTTAATTTGATGTGGGGAGTATATGTGCACACAGTACACTGCTTCTGGCAAGAATGAAACAGTATTTTACTATTGCACGTGGCATTATTTAGTGTCATATTTCACTATTGTCCCCAGCTGCAGCCAAAAATAACAATTAAAAACCTGTTTTTCATAGAATGAATTACACAGATCAGACTGAATCCCTTTGGAAATGTACTATAATTCTCTTGATGGCTGGAACATATTTCTTCCATGACAGTATCATAATAAGGTGTGTGAGAGAAACAAACCAAGCAGTTTTCTAAAACTGGCCTTGGCTGCAATCTTATCCTACACACATTTAGCCATTTACTGGCTAAAGCTATAATCCCATCCTACACACGTTTACCTAATATATACAGTTAAACTACACTTTTCAAAAAAAGCGTGGAGGACAATAAGGTTCATTTACTTTTTCCTCCGTGAGATGTAACTAAAAAGCAGAATGGTAGGGTGATGAAGATACTTCTTTTGAAATCAGAAATCATAGAGGAGAAAATAGGAAAACGTTTATGAATCTCTTGCTCAAAATTCACTGAAAACTGGTGCTTGAAAGTGGGCTAGTGTGTTGTTTCCTTGGCCTGCTTGACTTGTTTGTTTGGCAATCCCAGGGTTCAGGACATTCATTACTATGGAATTTAAACTTAAATTTTAAAAAATAGAAGGCCATCAATCCCCAGAGGAATAGGATAAAATAAATTGCTTAGAATAGTGAAGCTTTTTGCCTTTGTCTTACCCACAAAGTTGGGGAATGGACATTTAATGCAAATACAGGTAGTCCTCACTTAACAACCATTTGTTTAATGATGGTTCAAAGTTATGACAGCCTCGTAAAGGGTGCTTCAGGATTTGAGCTCCATTCCTTTCCACCGCCAAGGGTTTTCCCCTCCCCACTCAGCAGTGTGAAGGATCAGAGATCAAATCCTGCAGATTTGAGCTCCTTTCCTTCATACCACTGAGTGGGGAGGGGAAATCCCTTGGCAGTGTGAAGGAAAGGAGTTCAAATCCTGAAGATTTTAGCTCTGTTCCTTCACACTGCTGAGTGGGGAGGGGAAACCCCTTGGCGGTGTGAAGATCTGAGCTCTGTTCCCCCATCCCCAGGAAGGATTTCCCCTCCATCCTCAAAGAGGAGGAGAAACCCTTTGACAGGCTTTAGGAACGTTTGAGAGTGAAAGGGCTGCCTGCCCAGAAGATTTCAGTTCTACATAGAGGTGAAACCATCTGGCAGGCAGCCCTTTCACTGTCAAAGAGCTGCCTGCTAGGAGGATTTCAGCTCTGCATTGAGCTGAAATTCTTCAGCAGACAGCTCTTTCACTCCATCCATTTAACCTGAGAGATCACTTAATGACCACAACTGGGAGTGCCTGGATTGTGGTCATTGAGTGAAGCAGTCAAGTAGACATCTTCCTTAATGACCACTTCGCTCAACAACCAATTGTGGTCGTTAGGTGAGGACTACCTGTACTTAGAAGACCTTATTCATTTAGTAGCCTTCAACCAAATGTATGTCAGTTATCGGTTCAGTTCTAAAAGTTGCTCAAAGTCAGGCTGATTTGAGACATCTTTGTTCCTGCTGTCTACTGTTGGCTGACCAGGATGGTAACTGCTGAAATGTCCTAAATGCCAGAATTTTCATAAGTGAAACAATTTAAGGGAGTCTAAATAAATTAAAGCTGAATCTCCCAACCTTCAAGTTCTGTATCTGCATTACAACAAATGGCTCTTATTCTTGCTGAGTACTTACCGGTAACACATACAGTAGTCTGTAATACTTAATGAATATAGAAATTTGTACCCACATAGCAACCCTGATAATACATTATTTATGAAAGAATTATTCTTCTAGAATGTTGTTTATCAGTTCACTGCAATATTTGGTAGGAAGAGAGCAAGGATGATGATGATGATGATGATGATGATGATGATGATGATGATGATGATGATACTCTGTGCAGTAATTGCTGAAAGACATTCACAGGAGAAAAAGAGCCTGGAAAGAATATTCAGAACTGATCCGGAAGTGCTTCCAGCGTGATGACAGTAGTGACAGATCTGATCCTGAGAGACAGATTCTGTAACTTAAATGTCAGTTGAGGGAGTTGTTTGCAAGTCTCCTTGGGAAGTTTGTAAGATGAATAATTGTGGAATTAAGCAAATATGGTGGAGATGGCATGGGTTTGCACCCAGAGAATATCAGCAGCTCTAAGCTCATAGCAGATGGGCTTGATCTAAGTGATAAGGCAGCTTGAAGTAGTTATCTTTTTCCCCTGCTTTACCTGTAAAGAACTGCAGATAAAAGACAGCAGTACTGAAGCCAGCACTAGTAAAAACACTGTTTTTGATGCAAAGGAGAAAAATGTGGGAGGTGGTTGCATTTGTGGTGGGGTAGAGACAAGAAGATGATGCTAAGGTCCTCCCTCTAGAAGCTGTTACTGGTCCATGCTCAAAATGGGGCAACATGGCAATATGGAAATGCCCTTAGCCTCAAATGTCTTTCTCTGGGATACAATAAGTTAGCTTCTCCCATTGTTTTCTATTATTCAACAATCTATGATTGTTGATGATCAAGGAGGAGGAGGAGGAGGAGAATTCATCAGTCTTCATTGGGCATACTTGGAAAAGAGGAGTACCTCATAGCTTTGCATGAAGGTATTTTGTTATATTTCTATAAGCTTTGACTTCCCTTTGATGCATGCTTACACTACTCGTTTCTTAGTGGTTAACTTTCCATTTCAATGTTAGCATAGGGATATTGCTTTACTATTACAATAAAATGGTCTGCCCCAAATGTAGAGGAGCATAAAATCTGTGTTCTCAGAAGGTTCACATTTACTGGAGGGGAAGGCATTTCGCCCCAATAATTACCGGTGAAGTAGAGGTAATGATGTCTCTTATATTCTCTGATAAAAATAAAACAGTTGTTGAAAATAAAAGGACGGGCAGGAGGGCAAATCAGTTTATCTCTGTTCAGTTTTATTCTCCTCTTTTTGTTTTCTTTTCTTCCCAGCGCAGCTACTATTCCCCCTTAACTCATCTCCATCCTGTTATTTTCTTATTTCTTTTTTGTTGCTTCTATCGGGAGGGGAATATGTGCATGAGATGCTATATGCAGATGGGTGATCAATTAATTTTATAAATGGGTTATTTTATTCTTCTGTGTGTATCTGTGTGTATGTGCCTTTGACTCCTGGCAACTGCCTGGACAAGTCCCTGTTTTCTTGGCAAGATTCTGGCAGTGGTTTTCCTTTGACACCTCTTTAGGTGCTGAAAGTGAATGGCCCAAGGTCACCCAGCTGGCTTTGTGCCTAAGGCGGGACTAGAATTATAAAAACTAAAAACTAAGAGATAAAAGCAATGGATGGTGTTATGTAGTTGGTCTATGGAAGAAAGAAAAATCTAGAGTGATTTTTATGAGATAAGAAAGGACTATTTTGTAGTAATTGGCTACAAAGAAAGGAGAAGATATTTTTGAATGCCTATTTTTCTGCTGGCTAATAGAAATAATATTTGACTATTATGCCTGAAAACTATTTTTTAACTCTTATTTGTTTATATTAGTAGCATAGGTGTGTGTTAAGACTACAACTTTTGGTTTCAAATTTAATTCACTTATTTGACAAACAATCCACTTCAGTCTTTAATCATTTTAAAACCAACAAAACTGTTTCAGATCACCATATTTCCCATTACTTTTGGAAATCAACAAATTATAACTTTTTTTAGTAGAATTAATTGAATTCGTATGGGGAACAATGTGTATCAAATTACAAATAAATAGATAAAGGAGTTTGGGGCTAAGTGCTTTAATATTTTAATTTTTTTGAAGAGATAATTGCCTCTTAAAAAAAAAAAAACTCATGACAAAATTGGATGGCACTTTACCAGTAATGATGCCCTTTAATGAGGCAAACCTCACTGGGATTCATATGAAAAGGTTAGCAATTTGTGTGTATGTTGTGCATGTGCAAGGACAACGTTTCCTGTCTAGGAGACAGGAGTTTCCAAAAATGGTATGCCCTGCAATTACATCTTTCGGGCAGAAATTATGGCAATTACAGTCTTAAGTGTTACTTAAAAGTCATGTCTAAGACATTATATAATACCTTCAAGAGGCTGTAGAATTGGTTAGTATCAGTTGAAATAACACTAACAGCCTTAATATATACATACATAAAAGGATAACGTTTGTACAGTGTGAGATTGAATGAATGTTTTCTTCCTTCAAGATGTAGAGGATCAGCTACTTTTATCAACTCTGTAATGTTTTCCCAAAATGGTTATTATTTAGTCTGTGAAAATGATGGGCCTGTCTTGATTCCTGCAGCTGCTTGGCCCAACCCATCTGATCAGTTACTTTGAAGTGCAAAGCATTTCAGACCGCCAACTATCAGCTGTCTGGAACATTTCCACATGGAAATCTTAATAACTGCTGGACGTGGTGCTTCTTGATTTGGATTGAGTAAATATATATGTGTGCGCATTTAAATATATATGTGTGCGCATTTTTTTTAATGCCAGGGTACATCTTACTCCTATTCATTATTCATCACCAAAAATGGTTTGAAACATTAAGAGTAGTATTATTCATGATAAATTAATATAGGTATTATAACATTGAATGATAACCTTTTTCTTCTCAGGAATGAAAAAATGAATTTTTTTCAAAAAGTGACAATGTGAATAGGTTCTGGCTATATTTTGATGAGAGTAAAACAAGGACATAGGTTTTTAAAAAGTAGTGTGTATTTCTCCAAATAATCCATCAAAATTACAGATATGAGTCCTCAAAGTAATGTTATTTATTTCCATATCATGGAGGGCATGTTAGCATAATGCTAACGTATGCAGAAGTCGCAATTCTATTCTTAAAGCTGATGGAGTATTTCTTTAACCCCATAATTTACCCTGCTTTGGATACAACACTTTATTCTATACCATGATGTTTGTATATCATTGATTAATAATAGCTATTAAACATGTAACTCATATCTCTAATTATATTTAACGCTTTGACAAACTATTAGGTCATTAGTAGGAAATCTGTAGGGATCCAGATTTGCTAAATTATGTGTCATAGAAGTTAAAGCCAACAACACCAAAGCTGAGGGCTGGAGGGAATTGTAGCTCATAAAATTAGCCAACAAAACTCAGGATGTATTTGTTAAAGCATGGGATACATTCATTTTATTTGTTTGTTTGTTTATTTGTTTGTTTATTATTTATTTATTTAAATTGTTATTTATTGAGAGCCAGTTTGGTCTAGTGGTTAAGGCTCCAGGCTAGAAACCAGAAGACTGTGAGTTCTAGTCCAGCCTTAGGCATGAAAGCTGACTGGGTGAGTTTGGGCCAGTCCCTCTCTCTCAGCCCAACT